ATTCTATCATACGATCTCCAGCATAATTTCTATCACCAAGACCATATTTTCCAACCACTGATACTTCTTCTTTGTTTCCAACTTTTGCATTTCAATAACCAATAATCACCAACATTTTTGCAATACAGCATTACAATATTATTTATCTTGGTTACTGAGATTTAAATTTTGCACTCCATCTGAGTGCCTCATACACCTTGTCCTAATACCAACCCTGATGTTTTCATGGGGGTTACTTATTCATCCATCCATCCATCCACCCATTCATTCCATGCACAGTTACTGGAAGCCTTCTCTGTCCAGGGCATATGTTAGGCTCTAGAGAGAGAAATCCAGACATAGGCTCAGTCCTGAAGACAGTATTGGGAGAAGATAGCCATAAACATTGGGGACTGTAGGACAGTGTGGGGAGGTACAAGGCAACAGAGTATCCCAGAAGAATCAAAAGCATGCCTGCTAACCCTGGCTGTGAGCTCTCACTTGCTGGGGTCTGAGCTAAGCGCTTGCCACATGGCATCTAACTAACTCCCTCCAAAGTCCTTCCAGGTTTGCACATACATTTGTGTAAGCAACTGGTGAGGGGCTTGAGCTTGGGTAAGTTGTGTGTAGATCAATTGCACAAGGTCACACTCTACGAAATAGTGGAAGTAGGAGTCAAACCCAAGTCTGCCTGGCTCTGGACCCTCACCTGTTCCACTACTTATTGCTCTCTCTTTATGTACATGGGACAATCCAGGCAGGCTGCCTGAGGGAGGCCCAGTTTGAGCTGAAACTTCCAGGATGTGTAGGAATTTATAGGGAGGCAAAGCAGAGGGAAAGAACTTTTTTTTTTTTTTTTTTAACTTTTTATTGTAGTTTAGGTGAAAATTTACAGAACAAATTAGTTCTTCATTCAACAATTTATACATGTTTTGTTTCGCTCAACAGGAAAAGAAAATCATATGCTGTGCTAATAAGACATGCAAAACAGTGAGTGTCCTTCCCTCTATTCTAAGAAACTGGGTGATGCTTTTGAAGAGTTAGCCAGAGCTAGCATTGCTTCCTCATTCTGGTTCTCTGTTTCCTAACAACGTCAGCATAAATAGGAAGCACTCAGGCTCACTGTTGTTCAGAGACTCCAGCTAAGACGTACTACTCCTCCACAGAGGTATTGGCTGCATTGCAGGGGCTGGGGCGGCCCTGTGCGGGGAGCAGGGGATAGTTCAAGCCACCCTGGATGGAAAGGGACAGGGAAAGCCGGGAAGGACTTGTTGGGGACAGTTGTGCCCTGGGGACTTGAAAGGATTAGGATTTTGCTCTTAGGAGGAACTAAATCCAGGTGCCTCTGGCAGCCAGTGTGCAAGGAGACAGCGGGGGCGCTGCCCTCTGGCTTGGGTGGTGTGCAAGGGCTTTGGGACTGACCAGGGCTCACTGGGGTGGTCTGGCTGTCCTGGCAAAGAGGGTGTCTGGGATGGTGGCAAAAGCTTGGGCTTGGAGTGTCACCGGGGTGTGCCTTTTTCGTGATGATTTGAAATGCTATTAATACTTTCTAAATTCCTGCATGTGCTTGATTATATTCTCTTAATGGTTTCTGTTCTACCTGTATACAGCTGTATTCCTGGATCACATGGAGTAAATTGATTTTCTTGCTCTATTAGAGAGCAAGTCTCCCATATTTGATTTGTTTTAATTTTTGAATCAGCTTGTTAAGTTCTTTTGGAATCTTGATTAGATTGCATTAAATTCAGAACTTGTTTAGGGGATACTGGCCACTGGAGATAATGGCATTAGTGGGCAGCCTTCTCCTGTCTGTGCCTTTGATGAGGAGGCACTGATGATTCCATTTGTTTCTGACATTTGTCACAGATTTCTGGTAGACCCTGCAAAGCAAAGGTTTCCTCCAACTCTTCAATTGCCAAGAGGTTTATTTGTCTGTTTGTTTATTCAGGAATGAGTTATATATTATCAAATATTTGGGAGACATTTACCAAGCTAAACTAGTCATTTAAAAAAAAAAAATCTGTTAATGTTTCCCATTACTGGATTAGATTTCCTCTTAACTCTTCTTGCATTTCTGGAAAAATCCCTAATTGGTCATGATGCACTCTTCTTTTAAAAATCTTTGTCAGATTGCTCTATGAAATTGTTTTACCTAGAGTGGCTAAGACACTTGCCTGCTCACCAGAAGGCTGGCGGTTCAAACCCACCAGCCACTCCTTGGAAGGAAGGTTGGGCAATCCTACTTCTATAGTGATACTGCCTCGGAAACCCAAGGAGGGGTCGCTATAAGTCAGGGCTGACTTGACGGCACATAACAACAACAACAACAACAAGAGTGAATTTTGGGGAGCTCTGGTAACATAGTGCCTAAGGCACTTGACTGTTAACCAGGAGGCTGGCAGTTCAAACCTACCAGCCATTCCTCGGAAGGAAGGTTGAGCAATCTACTTCCGTAGTGATATTGCCACGGAAACCCAAGGAGGGGTCGCTATGAGTCGGGACCGACTCGACAGCACATAAAAACAACAACAGAGTGAATTTTTATTTTGCATTTCATATTTTCATCTTTTATCCCAACCGTTAGATTTCTTCACGAGCTTAGGGATTTTGTTGTACACTTTTATTTTGAGTGAGAAGGTGTTTGTTGCCTCTCCTTTCTCTTCCCTTCCTCTCCCTCCTTCTCTCTCTTGCTCTCTCTCATTCTTCTACCCCTGTGCTCACCCCTCACTCTTAATAATTTTCCACCCTTATATTTTTAATGTTTTTGTTGTTGTTATGTGCCATCAAGTCGGACCTGGCAGTATCACTACAGAAGTAGATTGCCCCATCTTCCTTCTGAGGAGTGGCTGGTGGGTTTGAACCACCAGCCTTCTGGTTAGCAGTCAATTGTCTTAGGCACTATGCTACCAGAGCTCCCATACATATATTTTTAATATACATATTGGTACATATATTTTCTTGCAAAACAAGACTAGATCCCTAACAAACTTCCAGTACTCCTCTGCTTTCCACCTCCATAACTTTCATACCCACTTCCATCAAGTCAATTCTAACTCATAGTGACCCCCAGTAGGTTTCTAAGACTGTAAATCTTTATGCAAGTAGATTGCCTCATCTTCCTTCTGTGGAGAAGCTGGTGGGTTTGAACTGCTGACCTTCTAAGCCAAATGTCTTACCCACTATGCCACCAGAGCTCCTTATAAGTTCCATAGTAACTTCTACATTATTATTTATTTATTTTTACTTTATGTAGTAACAATTATTCTTTACTTAACTGCAAGTCTTATTGGTTTCTCTGCTCAACAGTGATTCTAGCATTGTATCTGTCTTTCATGGATTATTTTACCCCCTGAAATACATTCTACTGTAATTTTAATTTTTTCAGAAAAGATATGAAAATTTTTTTTGTTTGTTGTTACTTTATTGAAATGTGTGGTTTTGTGGGGGTTTTTTTGCTTGAAATTTTTGTGTTTTGTAATTTTTTTTTTTCTTTTTTTCCCCCTTGGCCCTTGACCTTTAAAGGACACTTAGTTGTTATATGATTGTAAGTTTAAATGCATTTACTCTCAGTATTTTAAAGACATCATCACCTAGAGTTCAGGGTCATTCATGAGAAGTCCCACGCCAATCCAACCTTTCTTCAGTTGAAGGCAACGTGTTTGTTGTTGTTCTCCAGTTTTCTTCTGGAAGCTTCTAGAATTTTCTAGAAATTTCACCAGTGTATTACTAGGTATGGCACTTATAAAAATGAATCTTGCTCTTCATTTGGTGGGCTACTGTATCATTTCAAGGTCTGTGATGCTTTCTTCTATTATTGCTGATTGCCCGTGGAAAATCCCCAAACAACATGGAAGTTTATTTCTCCCTCACACAAAAGATGTCCCAAGGTGGGTGATCTTAGGCTACTGGAGTTGTTCCAGTGTCTTAGGGACCCTTCTCCTTCTGTCTCATAATCTTTGCATATGGCTTCCACCCTCAAGGAACCTTATGGTCCAAGATGGCTGCTGGCACTCCAACCATCATTCCAAATTGTAGGCTGGAAGAAGGAAGAAAGACAAAAGGGACCCCTTCTATTTAGCCTTTTTCGAAGGTATACCCAGTGCTTCCAATCACAGCATCCCATTTAGTTCCCTTGACAGCCATGTGAGATATGTGTGCCTACTTGTTGGATGCAGAAAGTGAGGTGCAAGGAGCATCGGTGATATAGCTTAGACCATCAGCGAGACAGGGGCAAAGGCTGTGTTAGAGCTCAGGGTGGTCGAGCCCAGATCATGCTTACCCGAACGAGTTTAGATAATCTTTCTGGATGACAAGAACCACAGTCATTAGTTCCACTCTACTTGGTACTTCCCAGGCCTAAGGAAGAGAAAATGAGAAAATCCCCAGCCCAGTGCAGAGAAAAGGGAACTGGATTTCTGAGGGTGGGGTGGGAGGGATGACCGTAAATGGAGGGGGTGGGGTGAGCACCAGAGTCTGAGTGTTTGAGGTTGTCTGTCTGTGTGTGATATTCCACATGCTGCCACACATCCAGTGACTCCCCAAAAGTGATGTGGGCCAGAGGCCTTGGGGAAATTAATAAAAGCCACGCTGCCTCTTGTCAATGCCGTGAGCAGGGCATTGCATGGATGACTGCCACATGACCTGAAGGGGACCTTCTGACTCAGAGGGCATAGAGCCCATGTTTCTCATGTTCACGCATGAGGAGACAGAGGCCCAAAGTGAAGGGACTCTCCCAGAGTACCAGGCTGAGGCAGCAGCCGGGCCTGCAACCCAGACTTCTGGGTCATATCCCTAGGGTCTCCCCCATCACCATGGAGTCCCTCGGGGGACAAGCGGGGAGGGCAGCTCCTGGCTGACAGCTCCTTCTTCAGGCCCCAGAGGAGACAGAGTCCTCAGAGGAGGGCCCACAAGAGCCAGTGACATGGGCCAAGCCTGGCCCCCAGTCAGAGAGGATCACAAGCTTCCCAGACAGTGAGGACTCACCTGCACAGGCCACCTGCTCATCCTAGCTGACCAGGGAGATGATGCCGATGCGGGGGCTGATCCCCATCATCCTGCTGGCTCTGTGCCGGGGGCCCAGCATGGCGGGAGCCCAAGGTGAGCACCATTGCTTCCTGCCTTCCCCTGCCCACTCCTCATACTGGGCCCTTTGGGGGAGGCCACCCCTCCACGGAATCCCCAGGAAGCTCCCAGAGGCACAGTGTTCCTGCCCTCCCTCCCAGCTGCCTGGCCCTCCGTCCTTCTCCCCTGTCCCTCCTCTCCCCACCTGCACACTCCTGCTGTCCTTCCTCTGGTCTCCTGGTGAAGCCTTCTCAGGTCCTATCCCTTCTCTGCCCTCAGGTCTCAGTGTGGCATTCTGGGCTCTGACCGCCAGGCGGGCCTCCAGGCTTCCCTCTGCCCCTCCTTCCACACCAGACACTCTGAGCAGTGCCCCACGTTTCCCACCCCTGCACCCTTGCTCCTGCCAGGCCCTTTGCCTGGATCCTCTTCCTGGCTTTGGCCCCAGCCACCTCCTCCTGGTGCTTGGAGGTCCTGCTGGGATGAGGCTCTGGCTCTTGGAGCAGAATGGATCCCCACCCAAAGAGCTCTCATGGCTGCCTGGAGGGGCCAGGGCTGGAGGCCCAGGGTTTGGGCTCTGTCAGGCTGCATCTGGGGGTGGGTTTGGGGCTCTCTCTGATGCATGTCCCCATCCTGTGACTGCTGCAGTGGCCCACAGCAAGGCTCAGGAAATGTGCTGTCCATCAACAGGAGTGATTAACAGCCAGGCTGCTCACCCCTAAACCTCCTTCTAAGTCCCCCGCCCACCTGTCTGGCATCTAGGAGCCTGGACAGGATCAGGGATACTCTTGCCCACCATGGGACACCCAGGGGAGTGGGGAGGGGAGGTGATGAGGGACACCAGGAGGGAGAGAGGGGTGATCTCTCCTGCCTCTTCCTGGTCAGAGGCCATCCCCCTGCAGAGCCTGCGTTGCTACAATGACTACACCAGCCGCATCGTGTGCAGGTGGGCGGATACCAAGGCTGCCCAGCGGCTCGTCAATGTGACCCTCTATCGCCAAGTGGACGAGTGAGTGACCCCAAGGGACACAGAGAGTAGAGAGAGGTCCAGGGTCAGCCTGGGGTGGGGGCTGCCCAGCAGATTGAGGGTGAGGAGACCCTGCCAGAGTTCTGGCTGTTACTTCTACCAGCCAGGTACAAGCCTGGCCCCTGACATCTGGGTTCTGGAAGGGCTGAATACATGACTGTTGTTATTGATGCTGGTGGTGATGGTGATAATCCCTGTCCATCACAGTTTAACAACATCACCCCACACAGCTTTGCTTAGTTCTTCCGGGCTGTGAGGCGAGCAGGGCAGGGATGAGATTCCCACTTTACAGATGTGGAAACCAAGGGCCCTGTCATGGCCTCACATGAGGGACTGGCTCTGCCTGCCTGGGGCCCTCCACTTTCTTCACCTGGAAGTCTGTCCCTTTCTCATACTCCCACATATGCCATCGAGGAAGGTCCCCACATCATTTGGGTTGTTGGTGAAAGTCCAAATCGGCCATAACAGAGATAATTAAAAAATCTAGAAAGCAGGGGAAGAACATCTCAGAAAAGCAGGGTGAGAATGCTTGCCTAACTCGAAGGATATAATCAATGCTACTGAATTGTACAAGTAAAACTGTCAGCTGGATTATGTTCTGCTATGTATTTATTCTCTCAACAACAATAAAATAAAATAAGTATTTAAAAAAAAAAAAAAAAGTCTAGCTAGAGTCTCCAGGGGAGCTCTGGTAGCATAGTGGCTAAAGCACTTGACTGCTAACCAGAAGGCTGGCGGTTCAAACCCACCAGTCACTCCTCGGAAGGAAGGTTGGGCAATCCTACTTCCGTAGTGATACTGCCTTGGAAACCCAAGGAGGGGTCGCTATGAGTCGGGGCCGACTCGACGGCACATAACAACAACAACAACAGAGTCTCCAGGAAGGGAGACCCTCCCCATGGAGGCTGTCCCCTAGAAGGCATCAGCTCTGCCCCTCCTCACTCCCCCTTCATGGTCACTTTCTCTCTCTTGCTCCCTGGAGGTCTCCAGCCCACCTCCTCCACCTTCCTCAGACCCCACACCCCCATCCCCACCCTCAGCCTAGGACAGACACCCTCAGAAGGAAAGCTCCCCCAAATCACATACTCTGCCTCCTACATACTGGCTGACTACTGCTATATTCCAGTCTGGGCCTGCCCCAGGGCCTTTGCACTTGCTGTTATCTCTTCCTGAACTTCCCTTTTCCAAGAATGTACATGGCTCCCTCCCTCATCTCCTTCAAGTCTAAATGTCTCACCTTTGTCACACGGCATCCCTCGTCCCAGACCTTCTGGCCTCCTCAAGCCCTTCCCTCACTTTGTCTATACATTGTTTTCTCCATCTGACATACTACATCTTTCATCCAGTTGTTTAACATGTGTCTCCTACCAGGAAGGCAGCTCCACAGGCAGTGACTGGCGCATGCTTTGCTCACAGGCTGGCCATTGCCCTTGGACAGGGTGGCACATGAGAACCTCTCTGTGAGTCTTTGTTGAACAGTGATTCTGATTCACGTTGAGCTAACGCATGTCCTCTCCTGGCAGCGCCTCTCCAAAGCCAGCATCCTGCGATCTCAGTGACGACATGCCTTGGTCAGACTGCCCTTCTCCACCCTGTGTGTACAGAAGATGTGTCATCCCCCACAAGTTCTTCATCATCGCTGACAATGACTACTTCTTCTTCAAACCAAAGAGGCCTCTGGCCACCCAGCTCACTGTTAATCTGACCCAACGTGGTGAGGGCCTGGGGTTCCCGGCCGGGCTTCATCCTCTGTCTGGACGGTGGTCACCAGGGGTGGTCTGGCTTCAGGAGATAGGTCAGAGCATCAGGATCTTCAAGGGGTGGAGACACTGGCTTGGGGTTGGATTTCGTTCACTTGAGGGAAGAGGAGAGGGTCTCCTCACCATGGAGGCTTTGAAGCAGTACAGCTTGAGGAGGTTCTCATCAAAGGAACCTCCTCCTGTCCCGGCTACTCCCACCACCTGCCAGGCCATTGACTCCCAGCCCTGAAGCCTTCCCTTAAGGAAGAGCCATCCTGCCTATAGAAACCTTACAGCTTCCAGACCTCACTCACCAACATGGCCTCCTGCAACTTCTGCAACAACCCATTTTATAGATGAGGCATCGAGGCCCAGAGAGGTGAAGTAACTTCCCCAAAGTCCCACCACTGGTAGATGAGACTTGTCGAGAGCTTCCTGCACATTAGAGATGGGGCTCAGCACCTTCCCACAAGTGTGAGCTGTCCCGGGGTCTCCCTGTGTGTCCTCAGCAGCCTGTGAAGTGATGGCTGGTCTTGGTTGAGTGTGGAGGACCATTGCTAACTACAGAGCCAGGCTGTATTTGACTTCTGTTAGGAAGGACTTCAACAGCACTTCACTCTCAGTCTTATTGGTTCCATGATATGTGTACTCAGAATGAACTCAAACTAAAGATGCAGGGTCATTTTTAAAAGTTAACAGTCAGGTGGCAACAACCATGCAGGTGGCTGCCCTTCAGGAAACATCGTTCAACGTTATCTAGTCCTCAAAATCATATCTGAAATTGTACACTATTTTGTGACCCCATTTTGTGGCTGAGAGAGTGAAGAAACTTACCACGACTATTCAGCTGCTAGCGTCTGATGTTAGCATCCTGGGTCCCAGACACTGGGCTACTAGTTGCCCCTTGCAAGGGAGCAGTCTCTGGCTTTTGCTTCCTGCCTCTTTTTGCCCCAGCATCACAAAGCTGTTGCCTGGAAGAGTGGGTGAGTTAGGCCATCGTGAATTCATTTCAAACAATATTTCCAACATGTGTTTGATGGCTGAGAACGTCTCTTCCCAAGTGGAGCTCAGAGTGCACCAACAAGAGACAGGGAATCAGGAGAGTCAGTGAGGGTGATAACACTTCCTGGAGGCAGAAGTGTGCCCCATGCAGAGGGGCCGAGGGCAAGGAGCCCCCGGGGTATCAGGACAGGGCTTCTAGAGGAAAGAACTTTGCAGTGAGATCTGAAGGGAAGCAGGAGCAGGGAGGGGCTGGCTGTTTGGGTAGAGGAAACAAAGGCTGGAGATGGGGAAGGCGTGGCTGCTGGGCAAACCACTGGTCACTGTGACCTGTGGAGCATCACCTAGAGGGTTGCCGCGTGGTGGGAGAAGAGAGGATGCAGGTGGGCAGGCACAGGAATCTGAAGAGACTTCTGTGCCCTGCAAAGGAGTTTAGAATTCACTCTCAAGCCAAGGACAGTCGTTGAAGGGGTGTGATGTGTTCAGATGCCATTGGGAATGCAGGGTGGATAGGAAAGGCCACCAGATGAGGGAGAGGCTCCAGCCTTCCAGGGAGCTAAGATGCTTGTCCCAGGGAGAATTTCAAACCCATTGCCATTGAGTTAATTCCCACTCATGCTCTCCCCATATGTAACAAGGTGGAACTTCTCCATGGGCAGGTTTTGGTTGTCACCTTTACGGATACAGATCTCCAGGCCTTTTTGACACACACTGCATCTCTGGCTGGGTTTGAACTGCCAACCTTTGGGTCAAGTGCAAAGCACTTTCACCTCCCAGGAATCTGAAGTGGAGGGTTCAATTCCAGCTCATGGTGACCCCATGTGTTACAGTGTAGAATCACTCCACAGGGTTTTCCTGGCTGTAATCTTTACAGATGCACATTGCCAGGTCTTTCTACCACAGCTCACTGAGAGGGTTTGAATCACCAACCTTTAGGCTAATAGACAAAAGCAAATCTTTTGCATCACCCAAGAGACCTAGGGTAAACTCACCACCATTGAGTCAACTCTGACTCAGTAAACCTGTAGGACAGAGTAGGACTGCCCCGTAAGCTTTCCAAGGCTGTAATCTTTATAGAAACGGACTACCACATCTTTCTCCCATCGAGCAGCTAGCAGCACCTTTTGGTTCGCAGCCAACTGCTTAACCACTGTGCCACCAGAGCTCCTGGACCTAGGGCCATATTTGCCAATCATAGTAAGAAAATAAAGACAGTTCACTGATGACTTTGTTCCCCTTTAAGTACGTACATAGCTTAGGAGAACAGTGAACAAGCCAGTCAGCATCCCTGCCCATGGAGCTTGTGGCTTGGGCACAGGGACAGCTTAGGGACTGGATGGGGGAGCATGGCCTTTGCCTCCAGGACATGCGCTGAGTCAGGAGTGAGTTCTGCTCTAGCCCACAGAGTTTTGCAATGAACCAGGGAGGCTCTGAGGTACAGGGAAGGGGAGAGGTTTGTACCTGATCTTCTCTGGGGTTCCCACATATGAAGACCTTGGGCATATCACTTCCTCTATCAGGTTCTTCATTTCTGAAATAAGTATTGTGGGGAAGGAGGAGCCTCAGAATGGATGGAGGCTCGATTTAGCTTACTCGTGGGCACTCTCACTGAGCTTACATCACGTATGAAGAGCGTCTGCACAGCTTCATTCATGCTCACACTCGATCCTATAACGCTGGGCCAGGTGCCCTGGCCTGTCCACCCAAGGGGCCATGAAGGCTCTTTCCTGCCCTGCACTGGTCCCCACCCCTGACTTGTCCTTTACTTTTTCACCTTCTAGTCCAGCCCCCTGCGCCCAAGGACCTACAGGTCAGTGATGTTGGGGACCATTTCCTGCTGACCTGGAGGGTGCACCTTGAGGCCCCCCAGAGCCTCTGGCTGTCCAAGTTGCACGTGGAGTTTGAGCTGGTCTACCGGCGGCTTCAGGACTCCTGGGAGGTAGGGAGCCACGGCCACCTCTGCCCTGAGCCCAGAGGGTCCCAGCCCAGCCCAGCCTCCTCCAGCGCCCTTCTCCCCACAGGAGGCTGCCACCCTCTACTCCAACTCCTCCCAGGCTGTCCTGGAGCCAGAGGACCTCATACCCAGCAGCGCCTATGTAGCCCGAGTGCGAACCCGGCTGGCACAGGGCACAGGGCTCTCGGGGCGGCCCAGTGAGTGGAGCCCAGAGGTCCACTGGGACTCCCGGCCAGGTAACCAGCCCGAGTCTGGGGCTGGCCTGTTTGCGGGGAGGGTGGGACTTCACGAGCCCCTGGGACAGGAGGGCTCTGGAGCCCACACTGGTGGGACCCAGGAATCCCGTGTGTCATCCGTGTGCAGGGGCTTCTCTAGCCAAGCCCATCTGTGCTGAGCTCGGCACAGGCAGGGCTGTGTCTCAGGCGCCCGTCCTCTGCACACACCCCAGCTAGGCAATGATAACAGCCTTGCACGCCTAGCAGCTGTGTTTCAATGTGGCTGCTCTGTGCAGGGCACACCAGCAGGACTGTGCTTGGTCTCTAGAGCACCAACACACAGACACACTTCCCATTTCACACGGGAGGGTTCTCAGGCTCAAAGATTCCACCTTGCCTCCTGTGGTCACATGGCTGCCAGGGGTCAGCCGAACTTTGAACCCTGACCTCTGGGCCCTAAGCTCCCACTCT